GCTACTCCTACTTGAACTAGTGCAGGGCTCTTTTTGCATGCTAGTGTCACTGAACAGGTAGTTATGATGAACTGCTTGTCAACTGCAATCACTCATACATACGTGCATGTGTATACACAAGTGTAGATTCATACACTCTGTTCCTGTACATTCAGGCCGCCATAAGTTATTGTGGAAAATAATGATCTGCTTGGAATAAGTATAGCCTGAGATAAGTGAATTTAATGGTACTTTGTTTAACCACAAGACTGTGAAAAGTGATGCCAAATATTTGGTAAGACAGAAACAGACCTTCGTCTGTCTCAAAGAGCCACTCAGAGGACAACAGACACCAAGAGCCCCCGTGAAGATGATGACAGCTACATGATGCCACCACACTGCAAAGACCATAACGGGCCGTGTCAGATGTACTTATGTCAGGGCATCCAGACATTCCTTATAGGATATTTTTGTGCTTTTTTGCCCCTCCTTAATGTGCACATGTGAGTTTGATTTGTAAAATTGTCAAAAAGAAAATGTAATTTCCAGTCACAGACGCTGTCGGATGCCATTGTCAAATGTTTGCACTGGCTTGGTTCGTCCAGAATTCACACATAACAAAGTAAAATCCCTGTACTCACCCACATACTTTCCGTTCTCTACCCGCTTGTTGATGTCGAAGGCGTTGTCCACGTTGCCCTCCAGGATGTCAAACTTGACGTCCAAACTGCCTAAGTGATAGGACCCGTAAGCCGGCACTGTGGTTCTCAGGAAAACAATCTCTGTTGGAAGATAACAATTAGACACAAAAAAGATTTTGGAGCCTAAACCCATCATAATCACACTGGGATTGCGCCGCCAAGATTGTGCCAACTCTTGCTTTTCTTTTTTTTCTTTCCAAGAGGAAGACAATAAAATGGGAGATGGAAAGGTCTGTATTTATTGCGCACTGAGAGGGTCACAGGAAGGTTGAGGCTTTTTAATACTGTTGTTTAGCTGAAGGGCCTCGAGTCCTTTACACCCCTTCTCAGAGCTTATGAGAAATGACAACAGCTTAACTCCCTGTGACGCTGAGCATGAGTGTGTCTGAAATATGTACTGCATGCCAGCCAATAGATGCTTGTCAGCAGTCACTGTCTGTGTGTGATTGCCGTGGTTACTCATATCCATTCAGCATGGCACTTACTCTCTGGTTTGGGCCAGCCAAGCTAGGACTGCACGGAGAACATCGTGGAATAGCTAATTTGGGGGTTAGAGGTAGTCATATGGATTCTGACAACTGCAGGGAAATGTGTTTGATGGGAGCTCATAGATTAAGAGAGATAAAGTAGAGCTCAAGTGAAAAATAGGGCAGAGGACTATGTTGACACTAAAAAACCACAAGTTGTCATGCTGTCCTAAAATCCGTTGTTTCCAAAAATCTTAACATGACGCTTTGTCAGAAAATGATGCCTCCACAATGGGCCTTTGTGGGTTAGTGAACATGTAGAGTAGAGTGATTTACAGGAGACATTTTAGGGGAGATCAGTAATTTTTAAAGCATTATGTTAAACCATTTTGAGAAATGCATTTATTCGCTTTCTTGACGGTTGTTAGATGAGAATATCGATATCACTCTTTGTTAGCGTAACTTAGCATAAGAGTTGGAAAATGGGGAAGTAGAAAATCGTCTCACTGGAACAGTACTTCACACCTTCAAAGTGTTGTTTTTACAATAACTTTTTTTGTATTGGATTGGATTACGTTTATAAGTGACCTTTAGAGGTGTTGGCCGGTGGGTTTCGTTACTATTATATATGGCCATTGTATAGTATCCCCCTGGTTCGAGTCCTAAAACTAAGCTAAGCTAACCAGCTGCTGGCTAAAGCTTCATAATTACCCTATATTAAAGTAATATTGATTTTCTCATCTAACTCTCGGCAAAAGGAATAAGTCTATATGATGGACTCCTATTCCAAGGAAGTTTATTTCTATGAAACATAGTACACAGTATTTTGTCCTTTGTGTCAATGTACACTTTGCATGTTTGCCCGTCTGGATTACTCCAGATTTTCAGTATCCATATTCACAGAAAACATTGACCTACCCTCTGGCCTTGTGAACTCTCTGAAGGTGGGCAAGGAGATGAAGGTGTGGGACACAGAGTGCGTGGTGTCCAGAACGCAGGCGATGTCGCTGGGCTGACAGCTCTTTGTACAGCGAATGGTGTCTGAGCGTTCAAGCCTCGCCACTCTAAAGGAGAGAACAAACATACACACCCACAAAAACAAACAAACAAACAAAAACACAAATGGCCTCTGACCTTTAGGTAATATAAGACTTACAGAGCCTTTGGTTTCTAAAGCTAACAATAAGAGGGCATCATTGGGAGCAGCCCACTGCGTAATCAAGAACTCAGTGGGACAACTCCAATGAAACAATCACAAACAATATCTGAACAAGACAGCAGGGATACTGGATATAGCAGTCAACATCAAAACAATCAAATTCTATGTGGTTTGGAAGAATAATAAACCAACAATGGCCAAACCTCATGCTGGAGCCAAACTTTGTTGCTTGTGGAGACTAGCGCTGCCATTGATGCTTTTCTGATGCACTGTTTCAAGCTGTGTGGGAAATGAATTACTACACTCACAGAGAATGATCCACAACCTGCTCAGGAAAATATTTGGATTTGCTGAGCATCCCCGGCTTCACATCAGATAATCTCTTGAGGAGGATTTATGAGGCAAGGGAGTGTTCTGAAAGACTCCTAAATTGTGAGCAACATGACTAGACAACTCCCCAGCCTCTCCCCAGGGCAGCTCTCATCCTATTATTTAGGGCTTTGTTTATTCCACAGACTAATCAGTGACAGGTCGGAGGGAATGGAGGGCCTCTGCTGGCTCCTAAAGCTAACGCCACCTGAAGTATCACTATTCACTACCTGTCTGCTACATAAGACTTTGAGAGAGGTTTTTAAGGCATTAACAACCTCATAAATCAAGAGTTTGTCTTTGAAACGATGAAGAACTTGTGATCATGAGAGAGCTATTGAAACAAAATAAAAGCCTTGACTTTGACATCCAAGATGTTAAATTCAAACTTGGTATTCACAAAGGAGGCAAGTCAGTACACGGCTATATCGGGTTAAGAAAACAGCCAAGATGCCATGTATAAGTCCAGTTAATGTGCATGGCAGCCATATAGCCACATTGTGAGTCATGGGCAGTGGATCTCTGGCGCTCCTCAGGGGACCTATAGGCTGCAGCTCAAAGCCTAGGCATGGCTTGGGTTGCAGGGCTCCTTCCATGGAGAGCGAGGAGAGAAGCCCCTGACAAAAAGTCAAGCCACCACTGGGTAGGGGCTTGTAATTAGCAATTAGCGGGTGGGTCCAAGTTTTGCTTTGGCCCAGGCCAAACCCACAAAATGTTCTCCTAGTTTATAATACCACGGCCTGTGCTGCAGAAAGACCCGAGCGGGACTCTAGAGGATGAGGTGAAAGCTCTGTTGTGGTAGAAAGCAAATTTACGAGAAGATAATGACCCAGGGTGAACTGCCCCCTTACACACAGATGGGCATTTCAAAGCAGGGGCAGCAAGTGGAGCTAATTACAGCTCCTTGTTAATGCATGTGTATGTCGGCACCAAATGTGTGTATATATTTGTTTGTTTGTGCATGCGTGCCTTTGTGCATGCAAACGTGCTTATATATATATATATATGTCTGTGTGTGTGTTTGTGTATGTGCGCGTGCATGCACAAATGCATGTCTTCTTCATCTCCCCATGCCTCACGTGGCCCAGCCCAGGATAAAAACCCCAATACTTTCAGACCAGAAAGGAAAACAGACTTTTTGGATGAAAGTCCTCTGGTCAAGCATAGGGCCTTTTATTTTTTTGGTAATTATTATTTATAGTCGGCACATTGATAACGCCCCAACACAAACACTGCAGGGCATCATTCATTCTGTGCGCGGTGATGTTGCTGTACCACAAATTGTTCAGACCACCGGCCAGAGCCCAGAGCCCCATAACTCAATGTCAAAGGGGAGGAAAAAACCTTCTGCGCGCCACTATGTTCTTATTTTAAGGATATCCCCACTAGGGACCAAGTGCATCCTTACTGGCCTGACAGCTCAGGACAGGAGGAACCTAGGACATCTGAATTTACAGTTATTATAAGCCACAACCCTCGGGCAGCAGCCTCACAGCATGTCAAACTATTTATACTCTCTCCTGCTGGTGCACATTTCCCTCTTCTTTGCCACTGCATCCCATCTCATGTCACTTACTCAGCCTTCATTTGGATTATCTGTCTGCTTTGGGGTTTACACCCGCAGTATGCAGTGGAAATCTGTGTATTTTACATTAAGCTCAAAATGTAATGGGAGCTAAAGAGATGTGCAAGAAAAAAACTGCCACAGAAAGATGTATTTGCGGTGCAAGGTAACTGATGTTTGGGGAGTGGGAGTAGGAGTGCATTAAAAGGCCCAATCTGGCTCACTTTGAATGGAATTTGGAAGTGTGGAATTACTTTATGGCCTTAAATTGTAAATACTGAAATTTGAGTTATATGCACAAATATAACTGAAAGGTTTGACTTGGGAATGGGAAATTTGACTTAGCCGATTTAAAATACACCTGGTTTGCTTTTGTGTTAATAAACATTACTGATTCAGCAAAACTCAGGAAACAATAATAACTAATAACATTATGGATAAAAGCTGCTGTTTTCTAGTGTTAGTATGTGTACTAAAAGACCTTGTGTATAGATTTGTGTAGTCAGTTTTTTCAATACAATCACGTCCCTTTAACTTTAAATATACTGTATGCGTTACTTAAGATTTTACTTAAGCATGTATCATTGGACTTCCTCCTCCCTGAAAGCTGTTGGAATAATAGTAATATGAAACTATGTGAGGAAGTCTTCATGCCTCCATCTGTGATTTGGCCTCACATTCCAGCTGCTCCCTATGCTGTATTTGATTAAACCCCACAATGCACCATTATCAAGAACTGGAGTTGACTTGAACATGTGTTATTTCTATTTCAATTTTAATAGAAAACTGTTCATCCAACACATAAACCATAAAATACTGCAAAACGTCAGACTTTATCATGCAACCATCATCAAATTACACTCAATTGTAGGCAGACTTGAGTGTTACCATTTTATTATTTACCCTGACCTAGAACGCCACCTAGCGGCTATCACAATACCTTACCTCCAAGATACATTCAATTGGACCTAATTCATACTGCTGAATAATGATTTGTAATTCTAGTGTTTAACAGCTGATTATGTAAACTGCTAGAGAACTAAAAATTGTGCTTACTTCTTCTAATTTTATGAGTGGTATTGTTTTTTATATCCACTCTTTAAAAATGATGTGTCATCTTTAGCACGCGTTTAGTGTCAAATAATCATACTTGTGTTGATTTATTACAAAAAAAGTAAGTAGAGACAAGGCTGGATAATTGATCGGACAAAAGGGGCAGCTGCCAGGGAGCCTGAAAGCCCCAGAGTCACTGTTTGATGAATTAAAAATGTGTCTAAAGGAACAGTTTGGCATTTTAGGAAATACACTTGAAAATACACACACTGGCTTTCTTGCTGAGAGTTATATGAGAGAATCAAATCGATATTGCTCTTATAGAATCTCCTGTAGTCTTGTTGTCACCATGGACTTATAAACTTACTATGCCCAGCCAAGAAATAGTCTGTCACATAACCCTTGTAAAAGAAAAACTAAAAAAAACCTGTTGTCTTTACACTTTTGTTATTGCATTTTCTTGCAAATGGTTAGATGAGAAGATTGATACCACTCTTATATCTGTACCATAAATATGAAACTACAACCAGCAGCTAGTTATCTAAAATTAATTTAATTACAGGAAACAGGGGGGAAAACAACAAAATCCGCCTACCAGCACCGTAAAAGCAATTCACACATTCAAACTAGCTGTTTCCAATCTTAATGCTAAGCTAAGTTAGCTAGCTGCAACTAAATCTTCTCCTATTTCCCAAAATATCAAACTATTCCTTTAAGAATATGCATCACTCAATCACATCATCAACATAAATTTGCTTTCTTTGTCCATACTGTTAATGTGTGTATTTAAAAAAAGACAGGATAATGCACAGATAGGAAGGGGATAAGGGGTCATTAGGGGCCCAAGTCCTCCAAACTTGTTAATCAGACCAGTTTACCCGAATATTTAGGCAAGACCAGATTTTATAGCATAAATCCAGGAATGAAAGAAACATAAATGATCTTTGGTTATACTAGTTTTCTCTAATTGTAAATCGTAATTTATATGTATATTTACCTGCATATCTATCTATCTTGGCAGTATGTGCTGTATACATAATGTATTGTCATCTTGCATGCATTTTGTTTTGAGGATTCACTTTTTCTGTTTTCTCTGCAAGACAATGCAACACACATTAAAATGACACATCCTTTTTAAGGGTGTAGTAACTTGTGTAACCCTACATAACTTGTATTTATTCTAGCAGGGGATTGTAAGGTACTCTGGGCTCGTCCTGGGTAACAAACACCAGCACTTTAGCCAAGTATGTGCTGACTGTGCCGTAGCGACGCAGCCTTAGCTCCAGAGACAGCTCAAAGTCCTGTGGCTTGTTGATGAGCTTTGACACCGACATCACGCCACCAGTGGGTATCCGTTCCGCCTTGAAGAAACCGCCCTCATTGCCAGCAGTGATAGCAATCTGGATGTCATCACCGGGCACGGTGTGGGAAGGACCCATCCGGAAGATGTTGGTGAAGACGGGGATGTTGGTTGGGAAGGTGAGGTAGTAGTAGGTTATTCTCAGGGGCATGGTCAGGCACTCGGCAGACTCATTGCAAAGCAAGCGTTCACATCGACTGCAAAGAGAGGAGGGGGGGGCAGGGCAGGACGGGACAAGACAGAACAAAACAGGCAAAGAGAGAGAAAGAAAAAAGAGAGACCAGGTGTAAATTTAATTTGCCGTGCATGGCATGCAGTGGAAGGAACATCAGTCTGCAGCATTTTTACACTTTACAGGCCAGTCATGGTGCCATATGTGGGATCATGCAAGAAGATCTGTCACTGGTGCCTCCATAACAAGGTGGTCATACACAGCATCTACTGTAATTGAGCCAACAAGAAAATCTCCATGTGCATTTCATCATTCTAAAACAACCGAACATGCTACAGCCAGTAGCAACTCATTCCAGCACTGAGCATACTGGACATGCAGAGCCCTGATCCTTAAAGTACACATGAATAAGGGTCAGTATAAAAAGGTCCTACTGTTACTGTTGTACTTAGAGCTCTTGGTACAGTAGGATGACCATTCAGACTTGAATGTGAGGAACAGTTACCCCGCTCTGTGACTGTTTATATATGTAAGGTTTATTTATTATATGTATATCTGTACATCAATTCCCGTATTGCTATGAGCACAAACAACACATTTAAAGTTGTGTCTGTTAATGAAAGTGTATTGTGTTCAGCAACAGTGTGTGCACAATTCAGAAACTCACGTCTCTCCAATGCGCCGGTAGTTGTTTGGACAGTCAAAAGACAGGCATCTAAATCCTCCCTGTATATTAAAGCAGCTCTGATTCTCTGTGCATGTGTGTGTTCCCGTCACGCATTCATCAATATCTGGAAACAAAAGACAGAAAGTGGGATAAGGTAACATTCACTAAAATAACTTGACATAGGCTTGACACCATCATGTGTAACGCTACAATAAGGACAGCTTACCCTGGCAGCTGCGCCCATTTGGTGCCAAGGTGTAGCCACTGACGGGACAGGAACAGTGGAAGCTACCAGGGGTGTTGTGACAGCGATAGGCGCAAATATGACCTCCAGTGGGCAGGGCACACTCATCGATATCTAACAATGTGAGATAAAAACAAGTCAAACCAGAGAGTACATTTCAGAAATAAATATATTAACTGCTTATGACTGATTTATAACAAAATGTGCTTCTGTTTCATATATAATACAGTTTGCTACAATGTATGCTTACACACTTGAAAGTACATATTAACACATACTAGATTCTAGCTCATACCATAGCACCCGGAACTTAATGAATGAAAGACAAATTGCCTTAATGTTTGGAATACACAGAAGAAAGATGAAATATTTTTCAAAATATTCACTTTACCTTCGCAAGTCATGCCATCTATGTCACTGAGCTGGTAGCCACGACGACAGTAACACTGATAGGAGCCGTAGACATTAGCACATTCTTGACTGCATGGGTTGTTCTCACACTCATTCAAATCTACACAGAGAAAAGTTTATTACCGACCATCATGAACTGTATCCTACGAGTTTACTAATAAGTACACCTCAGTCTCAGTAATCAGAAGAATAAAAACCCTGCACCTGCAGAGAGGTGGACCCTACTCTGTCCATCTGAATATGTACTATACGTGTAGTAGCATGTGAGCAGGTTACGGAGTGATCTGAAATCTCACAGACTTTGAAAAGACTTTGAAGGATTGATATTTTTCAAAGGATTGATCAATTGTCAGTTTTTACCAGGATGAATGACTGGTAAAATGCTATCTGGCCTGATAAAGCACATAAGAGTTTCTTATGAGACTTTAAATGTCTGTCTTTATCTTGATAAATGTTGGTGGACTGTGACAACACCAGGGACAACGACAGAAATACATTTTGAGACTGTATAATCCTAATCCCGGGCAAAGTCTTATATGTTGTATTTTAGAAATATATTTGAATATCATCAATTAACCAACCAAACCAAAGCAGGTTGATGCCATAGCAGGTAGTAAAAACGATGTAATGTGAGTCAAAAGGTCATCCAACAACAAACTGAACAGGGGTTTCTATTGCTTCAGTCACTGGGACTATATGCATAGTATAGCCTACAATATACACAACACGTACTGTATAGTGTATAAAAAAGTTGCATTTCTCTTAATTTAGATATTTATCTTACCATCACAATTCCTGCCATCACTAGCTAGCTTAAAGCCGTTGGTGCAGCTACACTTGTAGGATCCCAGAGTGTTCTCACACTTATGAGCACACAGGCGGCCAGGATAGTGCCTGCATTCATTAACATCTAAAACACAAAGTCGAAATGTGCCACAGTAATAATCTGAAATTCTGACAAAACTCTCTTGTGCACATTTGATCTGTATTAGGAGATGTATTTGTGTACGTTTTCTTTACATGCAGAGGAGGATATAACCGCTTACCCTCACAAACCCGAGTGATGCTGTTGAAGTTGTAGCCACTCTCACACTCACAGCGGTAGGAGCCCAGCAGGTTGACACAACTATGACCTGCACAGGCCCCATCAGGGCCCTTACACTCATCAATATCTGCAGAGAGGGGATGCAATCAGCAGAGAACATCATGTTATGCACCACAGGTAGGTTATTAATATGCTTTAATATTTAGGAATAGGATGTTTTTCAGCCGTACCAATACAGCGTGTGCCCTCTTCATTGAGGTGGTATCCTCGACCACAGTTAACAGAGTTCCTCTGGCAGCTGTAGGAGCCAACTGTGTTGATGCAGACCTGCCCTCTGTTGCATGGGCCTGTCTGGCTAACACATTCATTGATATCTGGAAACATAGACACAGAAGACATTATTACATTTTGAAATGATTGCCCTGGTTCATCTTATACAATATAACTGAATAAACATGTTTTTTAAATCTAAGCTTTGGCCTAAAAGTTGCTCTAGACAAAGGTCATGGAATTACAATTTAAGGATTTTTTTTTACCAGCGTTAGCAGCAATGTGCACACCAAATTTCATGTTAAACTATCTAGAAGATTAGGAGAACTCCTGTGAGCAAAAATTATATTGATATTAAGTGTGGGACAAAAAATATCTAAAATAGTATAGGAAATAGAAAGAGTGAATAATTTTAAAATGCATTATTGTTCTCAGTAAATACCTTTCAGGGCAATGTGCCATCTAGATGTATAATTCCTTGTGTATGAGTAAAAATATGGGCCAAATGGTGGTCCTAAAAGGAAAGATCTGGATATCCCCCAAAACATTATAAGTTCATATACTGATGAGCTCTTCATCTCAATTTGAATTTGAAGGTCAGGGGGTCACCAAAAGTATGAGGAGCCATTCTCTCATGACCACAAATAGCCATTAATGTTTGGCCCCTAGTCTAAATAGCATGCTCTGCACCAATGGGTGTACCACCATTAAAAAACTCTGCCGTTGGTCTTGCTGGTGTTGTTAAGGGCTGTTGTAGTATGGTGCTTACCAATGCAGCTGCCGAGGGCATCCTGAATATAGCCGACACCACACTTGACCTTAGGGAGACAACGGAAGGACCCCTTGGTGTTTTGGCACTCAAACTCTGGACCACAGTTATGGATACCAGTCTCACACTCATCAATATCTGAGTAAAGAAACCACAACAGGAACATTGATAATAAACATAGTGTCAACTCCTTAAAAAAAAGTACTCGGGTGCACAATAAGGAAAACTTAGGGAAGTTTGACTAACCTTTGCAATTGTTGTTGTCAGTGAGTTCATAGCCAGTCCCACAGCTGACCTCCCTCTGGCAACGGAATGATCCTTCTGTGTTGATACAGCGCTCTCCCCCCCGACAGTTGCTGGCTCCCAGCAAACACTCATTGATATCTGAAAGTGGTTGAAAGCAGAGATTCTCTTATTGTGCTGCTCTTTCCGAAAGTGACAGTATTACAGTTTTTGTATCAAAAACCTCTCTAAGCATAACTTTTCCCTATGCTCTAATTTCTTTTTTTACACAAATTGAAGACTTGGCAAATAAAACATGATTCAAAGCTGAAGATGAGGAAGAGTAGTACTTACCCTCACAGCTATGTCCATCTGGTTTAAGTTTATAACCTTTGAAACATCCACAGGTGTCATTGCCCACGCAGTGATGGGCACATTTCACTAAAAAAGAAACACACGTTGATAAAAGGCCACTGCTTTTGAAAGATTAAATCAGTGAGGTGTAGAATATCTTGTTTATTGATGTGTTTTACTGTACCATTGCACTGGTTATTTAATACTGAATTATCTCCATTTGTATTAGTTTCATCCTTGTTCGGTACTGTGTGAGAGAAAAAAAGCACAAATATATGTTTATATGCATACAGTGTCTCACATCTTAACCCCTTATGCCTCCATCATAAGGTGCAGCCCTATGAACAAAAATGTTGCGACTTTTTCATGGCTGCAACTACAGTAACTGTTACTTTCATTATTTATGACAATAATTATTTTCTCAATTAACTGAATAATTATTTGGTCTATTAAATTTCAGAAAACATATTTAAATGTCTATTACAATTTCCTACAGGCTACGGTATGGTCAAATGTCTGTTTTGTCCATCCATCAGTCCAAACCCCAAAGATATTCAATTCTCTGTTCAATAAGACCAATAAATCCTCACAACTGAGAAGTTGGTAACAGAGAATCTTTGGTATTTTTGCTGGAGTACCCATGAATTACAGACTTAATCCCTGAAAGCTCCAAAGTTAGTATCCTTCAGCTGAACCTGACCTGACTGTGTTTAGGAGCGAGCGAGAAGATGCATTTCTCATTTGAAATCTAAAAGCAAAAAACCAAAAGGCAATAACTGCATATGTCCAGTAGGGGGAAGTGTAGGGTTATGTATGACAACACCAGTGGGGCTTTGACCTCTACACTTAAAGGAGCAGTGTGTAGGATTTAGCAGCATCTGGGGGTGTAGTTGCAGGTTGCAACTCCCTCGCTTCACCCTCCCCTACCAAATCATCCACAGCCAGTGTTTGGTTTGTCTGTTCTGGCTACTATAGAAACATGGTGGTCAAACATGGTGGACTTCGTGGAAGGCGGTGTCTGTAGATAAAAACAGCTCATTCTAAGGTAACAAAAAGTACACTACAGTAATGAAAACATAGGTATTCATATTATCCTCCTAAATGTTACACACTGGACTTTTGAATATTCTTCCTTGTTATGGTCCAATATTTTGAGAAATGTAATGTGTCACAGGTTTTCCTGTACTGTCTTTCTGTTTTTCTACCCTCGCTGTTGAAGCTATTTCCCTGCTTTGATGCAAAAAAAAAAAAAAAAACTGGAGATAAAAAGGAAATAATGTACTTCATTCTTGTTTTTTTTACCCACATTCAGTTTGTCCTGTGGGTGTGGTCTGGTTGTTTAAGGCTGCATCCACGCAGCAGGCCCGGGACACCAAGCTACACTGGTAGCCCACAGACAGGTTGTGGTCACAGGGTAGGCCCTTTTCCTGAGCCGCCTTCCCCAGAAGACAACAGTCACAGCACATCTACAGAACACAGAATATGATACAACAGAATAAGCGTTCGTGCATACACGAAGGAAAACCACAATGTCACAGAGAGTTATCACCCGGCTCAGCTGTCCTATGCACCAGGGGAAGTGAAACCAAAACTCCAGACAAGGAAAGGAAGATTGTGGGCTGATGTTGGTTGGTAAAGTATTGTAGATAAGTATTGTAATTCAGACAGAAAGCCAAGCTGTCAATCAACCAGACAGGGAGAAAAGGAGGCTGATGAAGACAAGCCAACTGACAGGCTTCAGCCAGACAGACAGACAGACAGAAGAAAAGCAGCTAGTCAGTAAGCAAGACAGACAGACAAACTGATGAGATGACATCATCCCCTCAGGCTATAGCATGCTCAATCAATCATTATGGCAGCCTGGTAATGTCAGGCAGGGAATGGATGAAAGGTGCAGAGTGTGGGGGTTGTGTGTTTTTCGGCAATGAGGGTATAGACCTGAAACGTAACCTTGGGAGATGTATGTGCGTAATGATGGTGATAGCTTGACTGAACACGTGCCACAAGTCTTCCAAACACTACAGCTCTAATAGTTGTGTACAAGTTGTTAAGTGATACTTGGTCTGTCTGTGTTTGTTTATGCGTGGGTGCATGTCTGTGTGGCCCCTTACACTGCCCTAGAAAACTTTTAGCTTTTCAGAAAACTTCAAGAAAGCAAACATTTTTAGCACAGTCTAAACAGGAAACAGTAGAAGCTGGTAATGGTTCGAAGCGTTTGGGAAATACACTTAGTGGTATTCTCTTTTTTTTTTTTACGTTTTATGTTTTTTTACAACTTTTTTTTCACACAATCAAGTTTAAAAATGTTTGATCTGTGACAAAAGGGGTTTGTTGTTGTAGTACTAATTTTGTCCACAAGAGGCTGGAGTGTACCACTGCCTTATTTTCTAAACAGGACTACAAGCGTTCATGTTTTTCTTCCAAGGTGAGTTTTATTTCCTCTGAAGCACTACAATTCAGCCAAAAGAAAGACAATGACAGGTAAATTAACTTTGCTAACTGACAATATGTATGGAGTTCAATTGGGAGAAATAATTCGAAAAAAAAGTCTATTTCCACCCTGTTTTTCAAAAATTAAAAACTTATCCCTTATCTTTCAGGGTTTTTACTGGTTATATATGTTGTTTCTTTATAGGTTGTGTTTTTTAGTGAGGTTATGTGCCAGACTGTGTTTCTTGCGCAGTAACTTCCTGATGTCTCGCCTGACAACAAGACTTCAGGAAATCGCTGCGCCTGGCCAAGAAATATTCCTGCACATAAACCCCTACCACAAATTGACATTTTTACAATTTGGTTTTTGCGCTGTTAGGCAGATTTGTTTATCTTTAGACAGAACCAGACATGCTGTTATCCTCCATTTCCAGTCTTTAAGTGAAGCTAACAATCTCCTGGCTGTACATCCAGGTATCGCACGGACGAGAAAGTGGTTTAGTAGTAGTGAGTTTTTTTTTATTTTTATGAGGAATATTCTTTTTCACTCATGTTAAACAACAATCACAGTTTTCTGTAAATGTATGCAGCTGCCATTGAGGGTTTAAGGTGGGGACTGATTTTAATTTCTTGTTTCATATTGTAATGGAACCCTTTGATGCTGTCAATGTAGTGAAGAAAAGCACAAATAAACCTGACTTGACCATTTTTTAATCCAGTTAGAGTAGGTGAAACCAACTCCTCCTCATCCATATCTCTTGTCTTATTCACATTACGTGGGCACATTTAAGTATGAGCCACCATCTGCACTTTACGGTGGATCAAGTAAAGACAAGCTGTCCCACTGACAATTATCTCATCCTTTCAAGAAAGTGCACCAACTTGCACCTTCTACATTTTGCCAAGCATTTATCTTTGTGATGTCTTGATGTGTAGTATGTTGTGGAAATAAAGGGGCACATTGAGGTTTGGGAGGGGGAAAAAACACAGAACAGCTGAAAAATGCTTGGAAGTGAGCCTGTGGAAGATCTTAAGAGTCAGAGCTGAGATTTATGATCTATCTGACAGCAACAAGCTCCATTTCTCCCTGGAGTGACATGCCTCATCCTGCTCACAGTGCACACGCTAACAAACACACAGCCAAATGCACACCATCACTTTCATTAATCATTTGCCTCCAAACTGGCTGTCCGGCAGAGTGATGTACTATACACTGATTGAGTAGAGAGAATTTTTTTTGGTGCAGACAGTCATTTCATTCCCTCTTTGTGTCTCTATTTACAGTATTTTCAGTTATGTATGTGCGCACACACACCTTTGTAGTCTTGGTCTCGCAGGTGTTGGAGAATAAAGAATCGCAGGCTCCTTGGTCTTTGGCCATGTTGATACCAGTGGTGCACATGTTATCCTCAAGCACTGTTACGCAGCATTGCTCCTGTACTATCCTGTCAGCAAGAAAAACCATACAAAAACACAGGTGGTGCATTTATTCTCAGCTCTATCAATAATCTCCCCGGTGCAATACAACTCTGCCTTAAAGTGTAGCCCATTAAAATCAGCCAGAGGCAAGCCTGATGGGGATCTCAAAGTTGTCACACTAAAAATGCGTGGATGAGTGGGTTGAGTAAGTCCTGTGTGAATACAGAGGAGAGCAGGGAAGGTTATTGTGTTTTGCAACACTGACATCACTGGACTTGAGCAGCAATCCCTAAGGCTTTGGCTCTGTTTTTTTAGACCTGAGTTGTTTCTGTCTCAAGATGAACATTTGTCCACCTCCACATCTCCTTATTCATGGTTCCAACAAAATCACCAAAACAAACTGCTCCCTTAAGATAAGCAGCACAAACTGCGACAGATGCCAGTATATACAGTTTGCTTGGAATCAATTACATCACTAGAGCAAAATAATCCCAGTTTTTCTTTCGAAATCACTGATGACATGTTACAGATGTGATTTAAAAGTACTGCTGCAAGCATAAAGTGAGAAACACGTTGGTACAGGAAGTATTAAAGACAAATTTGACCTCTGAGCTCCCTGCGCATGAAGATCATGAAATGTATATCTCTACAGGGATCGGTAAAATACTGCATATTACTGTGATGGCTGTTTAAATGCCAAAAGCAATATTTGGATCATCATCATTGTACTGTCTAGCATTCGCTGTTTGTACGTGCAGTCCAATCAGATAAGAGTGGGTGACTGTTTCTGTCTGGTTTTGACCTCTGTCTGCAATTTTACAAGACAAAAAGCATAAAACGCCACCCCCTCACCTCTCCTCTCTCATTTCCAACAAGCCTCTCTATCCACTCTTACCAGAAATCCCTTTCCACATAAACTGAAGATCTCAAATTCACGTCAAGGAGCACACCTCCTCTGCAGAACCTTTTAAGGGCACAGCCGCACTCCTGTTTTTCTTTTCTCTTCTTTTTTCTCCACTCTTTTTCTCTCATACTTTTTTTCCCCCTTTGGTGTCTGAAGTAATCGTTCAGATTTCCTGTTCTGCCTCTCTCCATCGTCCCTCTATGTCGCATTTCACCTCTAAGGTATTTCCTGGATTTTGAGCCCCCTCTTCTGACCCCCTCCACCACTGCCCCCCACCCTTTTCCACCCTGCTCCCCCCACAAACCTCTGCCCTTTTCCTCTCTCCCCCTCACACCATAATTTAGACAAATTTGGGATCACTTAGGGTGGCTACAGTAAATGTGTTTGCCATCAGTGTTCACAGCAGCAGATCTCCCCGGCTTATGTGCCCTGAACCTGTGGCAGCACACCTTCTAGGGTTACCAACAGACCTGTAATTATCCCATTACTATTAGTGTTTCCTGCTCTCACGTGAAGTGAATAATGTGCTTGGAGATTTATGGGTGTAAGGTAAAGCAATCTCATATTAAGGGCCTACAGACATTTCCCTCATACATGGTGCAGGCTAAATCCCTCTGGGCCAATACTGCAGGAGCTTCTGTGGTGCAGATTGAAAATGTAAGATTGTGACAAAAGGTGCAGCAGTTAATGACTTGTAAATCTAAATAAGCCCCAGGAAAGTCTTTTAACCAACCCTCTTAAGCTTTATGGTGTATAGATTTTCGGTCAGGGAGACCATAGCAGCTGATAGCGGCCTCTTACCTGCATGTGGTCGACTCTGAAACGAGAGGGAGGGACGCACAGTCTTTGTTATCATTGCCATGCTTCTGTCCATCTTTACAGCAGTCCTCAATCGACATCTGTTCTGCTCCTATGGACATTAAAAAAAGACACAAGATATGTATTTGTAAGTAGGTGAAAAGGTGGACACATCCCATTTACTGTGTCATAAGGACTGCTGCAGTGAGGGGACCCCACCCCCACCCCCATCTACATAATCACATCGTTGTGTAGAGCCCAGATCTGCACTTAACACACTTGCCTGCATACACACTAGGTGGTTAACACATTTGCCTTGAGACTAGTTTTATAGAATTTAAGCTGTTGATGAACAAAATATATGAAATGGGATAGTCATGAGCATCGTCTTATGATCTTTCTTTGACAAACACATTTTCTTTTGGCAAAAATAAAACATGCTTGCACACATTGTTTTCGCTGATTAAGTGAGTTATGACGATCAGAATTGGATATCTAACCCAAAACAAAAAGGATATTGCCATTGTTCTTTAGGGCAAGTTGCCTAGCGCTCTCTAAAAGATGGAAAAACAAAATTCTAAATCTGTCTGGCAATTTAAAGTGGCTGACATTTTTTTTGCCAAAGACAACGAATGATGGATATGTTGTTGCAAACACAAGAGAGGCTTTTTGACTGGAGCAGAACCAACTCTGTGGTGATCTGGCTGTTTATTGATGTGGATTAGAGAGCGTGGAATGCCTTGACTCTGTAAACAATCAGCCGTCGCAATCACATCAAGTACATTCATTCGCCTGTGGTTTGTGTGATCTGCCAAACGTGAAATAGCTTTGGCAGATTGGTTCCTTGGACTTTTTTTGCCTTCGGCTCAAACCAGGAACAGTACGCCAAATTGTTATTAACAATAAGTCCCGCGAGAGAAAAAAAGAGAAAACAAACTCACTGTGAAATAAATTTTGTTGATCCATTGTAATAGAATACGGGTTGTTACTGGTTAGTGACTGAAAGCTCTGAATCATAGGGAATAGTGATTGTGAAATGCACTGAACAAATCCATCTGTTTGAGACACAGCGTCTGCTGTGAGAAGTCTGGCAAGAATCAGCAATTTCAGATAATAAGTTAGATTAGGTAGGGAGGACAAGTGTCTGGAATAGTAGTCCTCAGTTTTATAGATTTGCTGCTTTCTCCCAGAAGGCCTGGAGGAATTTTATTATAGCCATTAAATCAAAGATGAAGCACAAGAAGGAATAGTCATCATCACAAACAGGTTTCTGCACTGATAAACTTTGTAACAACACAAGTAAGCATTGCAATAAAACTCTCAATTTCTCAGAAGAGTTTGTGGGCTTGTACTGTATAAACCCCGTTCTGCAGCTCACAACTATGTAGGGGCAAGACATAACAATGACTAAGAGTTTATTCAAATGAGCTATGTGTGTTATTTTCTGAAGAAAGCGAGTCATTTCTCAAGTATAGGCAACAGAATTGAAACATTGTGACCATTACTACTACACGGAGGATGATTAACCTGGCAGAAAGGAGTGAGTGTGGATAGAGGATTTATTACTAGACAGCCACATTAGCTGACTCACTACGGACTTCTGGAAGTCTGGCACATCCCAGAATCCTCTGGCCAATAAACCTTGTAGCAGCTGGATGAAATGAGATGGCATTTTAAAAGCTTTTCACATGGGCCTACCAAGTAGGCTCCCTCTCTCTCTGTCTCTGAATGTTAAAGACCTCTGTGTCTGCTTGCAAAGTAAAGTTGGGATGTTCCAGTGAGACAATAACTAAATATTTTGCTTACAAAAATATGATAATATGAACATAAAAGATTTAATGACCAAAAGTCAAATACTTTCAGAGCGGTGCTCCCAACTTTGTGTAAGTTGTAAGTTTTCTTGTTATTGAACCATTACCAGTAATTGACATACTCTTGCCAAAACACCCAATTTGTATTGAAACTGGATCCAAAGAGCACCTATCCTGATTCCACACAAACTAAATAATAACACACTCATAATCTTTCCCTCTAAGGATGCAGTATGTATATTTTATATGACAGGAATAGTTGGGTCTGTTACAGATTCCTCAGATTTCTCCCTACAGTAGCTCCCTGCTGATAACTAACTCTAACCCATTAGGCATCACAGAGTCATTCCAATGCCACCGCTGTCTGCTGCTCTGCAAACCTAAATTGAAAGAGCAGAAGTGCTTTAAAACTGTGTGGTGCCGTTTTATCAAAAGAGTCAAACCAGGCGCAGCCTATATGCCGTCTGCTACGGTCCTCTGTCTCTCTGTGATGCATTGTTGGAGAGGGCTGATTTCCCTCTTGGATGGCGGTGCTGCTGGTGAGGTCCATTCTGTCTTGGCAGAGCAGCACATGGCTTGCAATGTCTAGACGCCTCATGTAAACAAGGCTTAATGAGCCCACTGGTGGAGCTCCGCCCAGACAGAGTAGTTGGCCTTCACAACAGCAGCGTGCATCTCTTTCACAGGCTGCACTGGAGGCTTTTATTTAGCGGTTTCTGTCAATCTTAGTCACATAAAAAACTGTAACTCAAGATGTAGATGGTTTCTATCTATCTTCTTTCTATTTCCAGACTCTATCTATCTATCTATCTATCTATCTATCTATCTATCTATCTTTACATGACATACATGGGTACTTCTGGGAGTTTTGGTTACATAACTGGTCAAGCTGTTGACCTGTGACACAACTCCCTACAGAGAAGGCAACTTAGAGAAAAGTGGCCCTGCTGACTGTGAAAATTTCCCCATATGTGACCAAGGGACCATGAGCATTTGGATATGGCTCATCCCAGCCCTTGGTAACCCTGCTGTGGGCGGTCAAGTATAAATCACACCCTTCTGTCTAGATCATTCTGTCCATCACAGCATACCAAGGCACTTGGCCTTTGACTTGCTGGGCAGAAAGTAATACACCAGGGCAGTGAGAGCTTAAACTTATGTGAAACTGCACTATAACACGCCTCAAGTGTTTTTTTGTTTTTTTTAATCACTTTATAAATCAAGTAGGATCTAGACTATGGCATGAACACAATGTAATGAATGAAAGAAAGATGTGACTTACAAGTTTTGTAAATATGTAGTTTCTGGATTTTTTTTCTTACACAATGTAATTTGCAGTGGCTTTATAGCTGCTTTAAATTACTTTATTCAACACTTAATATCATTAGGTTGTAAGGGGAAACAAGGGAAACAGAGAAAACAATAAACAAATAAAATGATCATTCTCCAAAAACAGTTATTATGATGTTTTGTTAAAAAGTATACAATGAAAGAATGGGACAGTTTAACCATACTTCATTTCAGGACAGACCTGCAACACTTTGAAGCACCCAGCCCTGTAAACTGTGCTTTCATCACATGCCCCAACTAGTCCTATGACAAATTCATCACCTCCCCGGTTCTCACTCTTTGCCTAATACCAGTTTGATGCATACTGTAAATATCCTGACAAATGCATGTAAACAGTAGATTTTACATATAATATTCATCCGCATCACTATCACATACCAATGTCCTTCCGTAGCTTGATTTGGCTTACCCTAATAAAAAGTTGTCACGCAGTGCTGATGTATAAAGTTCCTTACAAAAAGGTAACTTACCTTGGCCAAGGAGAACTCCGAACAGAGAGCAGAGCAGCACTACACGCGGACCCATTGAATGAAAATGATCCAACATAGAAAAAAAAACCCTGGAAAAATAAAGCGTCCGAGAGCTTTGAGCTTGGATCGATGCTGGTTATTGTTCAGGATGTGAGAATAAACCGCAGTGGTCCTTTAAAAAAGGAAGAGTGAGTCCGAGGATGTGATGGAGTTGAGTGAGTCGCAGTTGCAGCGTGACTGCAGGAATGAACGTCTAATTATGGCACTGTGAGGGGCGGGCTGGGGCCACGGACACCCACTTATTGCTAATCAAATCCCTTTTTTTCCCCTTCAGGATAAATTGGAAAGCCATTAACAGTGACCTCATTAAAAGTATATTGAATTCAAAATATAATATGGCTATTGGGACAGTAATTTATTCCTAGATTCTGACAGGAATGTTTATACAAACCGTAATTCATGTGATTGATATATTTATGCGTGTTGGAAAGTGTAAGATCTGAAATACTACCTACTGAGATGTGGGCTGCCATATTTTTTATTGCCTTCAGGAGGGATTGCAAGTGTCTTCAGGCTACTGTGCTGCAAGGTATGCATGCACACATGGAAATTGTCTTCCCATCAGTGGCAAAGTAGACTTTTTCTGTCTGTGACTAATGACTGTACTGATTACTCAACATCTGGAGCCGGTTTTGGGGTATTTTAAAAATCTGTTGTGGCTATGTCCAGACTGTAAGCCTCAAAACCTTTGGGATATATCAGTTTGAGGAAGGGGGGATCAGAAAATTAGTATTTTCACTGCCAGTCTCTGCAAATATCTGCGTTTATTGCATTCTCTTTAGTCACTAACGTTTACAGCTGCACCCAAAAAATGAGGCATTTTCCCTCAAAGTTAATGAATTAAAGCTTTTGTAACTGTGCCACAGATGTGGGCTCACCGTCAGCCAAAGTGATCATGAACTGTGAGAGGGAGCTGGGTATAAACAAGCCACACACACACACACACACACACACACATACACATCTACCAGAACTGGCAAGAAGCAGAGAAATAATTGCTAGACTGCATTATAAACATTTTGTACCAACTAAAGCCCTCTGCAAATTCAATCAGTCTACTGACTCTGGGCATGGTGACAGAGAGAGGTTAAATTATCTTCTAATCAGACCCATATGTCTCCACCACCAGTCTAGCCAGTCTAGAAACATCACCAAGGAATTGATATCAGGACACCACAGGCATACAGGAAAGCCCACAAGTATATGGCAGTTATAAATGGGTAACTGCACTGTTTAAGTGTAGTGTGTGACAAGTCTTGTCTCAATCTCTGTGTTCTTCAATACACCACAGTCTATGTTTTCTGTTGATAATTATACTCTGTTAACAGTCTTTCTACAAGACCACATTTTCATAGCCACTTGCCCATTCACTATATAGTGCCACTATTGCAGAACTGGCTCAAGGTCGTTTGAGATTTAAGTATGAATTGTGTGTTATTTATCTTCCTTAGGCTTTTTTCAATATTGGTATCCAGGATTCCATTTGTTCTAACAAAACCTCCCACTGTGTGTAAAAATGAGCTTGTAGAGAAGTTGCTTAAGTGGATAATCCATCACAGTGGCCAATATGTCTTTTGCAGTTGCATGGTAAAGCACAAACAATTTTATTTATTTATTTTATTAATAAATCCGCACTGCTGACCTTGACAACAAATATAAGCAGGTGTGGTATTTTTTGTAATGATTACATGACTTCAGCATGTTTTCTGAAAAGTTAATACCTTAGCAAAATAAAAACAACAGTATACACTGAAAAGCAATGTTAAGTACTGCAGTAAATAAATTAAAACAGTAAACATTTTTTGGCCCTGGAAACACATTTAAACGGCGCAGAAGCACCACTAGCTTATGGGTAGACTGTATTGCAACATATGGTTCCTACAGACATCTATCAGTCAAGGATGTGGCAACCCCCTTTATCACAACAACAAAGAGCACCATTTTACTGCTGACCTGTACTTAATCTTATCTTTGCTTTAGTGTAATGTAGGAAATAGATAATAGGCCATATAAGGAATGAAGAATGCCCAAAATGAGAGCCAGACCAGTGCCAGGCCCCAAGCTTGGCTGCCTCGAGCACTGTGAACATCTGAGGGCCACTTCTCATGTCTGGTAGCCTTCCAGGAACTACCAGCCCTCCTCTCTCCACCTCCAATCTAGATTTGGGCTTTAACACGAAACAGCAGCGTGAGTTGACCTCCCAGCTCATAGGTGGAGGAAATTGGAGTGTCTGAGGGCGCATTCAAACAGTGTTAATCTTGTTGTGGGGGGGTGCAGTACAGTTCCTTTGAAGCTCAACAAAGCGTGTCTTGCCACATCTGTGTCAATCAGCACAGGGCCACTAACACAGTCAGGCAGTCAGATGGCTGCCCTGTTGGGCCCAAATGACTTGTTCACTGTTAGTCAACACAACTGAATAAACTTGTTAAAGAAAAGAGTAGCTTTGCTTACCTTTAAAGTGTAAATTGTAGTGAGGGTAATAATACTGAAGTATTACTTTTAAGTAGGGCATTAGTTCTAGGATAAAGGAGGTGTATAACTTTAATCATTACCCAGATTTAATCATATTATATTGTGCCCTGTAAACACCCACAAGTTGACTTGCATGCAAGCAGGTTTATGGCTAAATGTGCTGGCTCTTGGATATTATAAGAAAACAGTTCAGAAAGGTGGCTGTGCATAACATGTTTATTTTTTTAAATAAATAGATAAATACAACTACACTTAACATGTACCTTTACAACATGTTAAAAAAGACTGGAAAAATGTACCAAGCAGAAATATTGTGTAATGATGTGTGACAATTAAGCATCTTAAGCAGTCTGTGGTTTTATCAAACAGCTTTGATTCCTTTGATGTTTTCATTTTACTGACCTCGAGGGGGCTCGTAACACATCTTATTCCACATAAGACGGACCACAAATTTCAAAGCTCGTGATTATCATCTTTCCTCTGATCACTGCTATATTTACACATGGAGTGCTAAACAGGAAAGACACACAGACGTGACCAAATCTTCTATTACCTCGGTGTTGATGGACCGATGTATCTACTGTGAGCAGACGTATCACTTGGTAAGAGCAAACTGAGAACTAGAATTGATAACTGACTGCTTGCCGTCAGTTTTACCCTGTAACACCTAATTGTGCTGCAAGTCTGTACTATTTGCATGAATCCCAGTCATAAACTTCAAGCTTTAGTCAGAGAGAGAAGCTATTTCTTCACATTCAGAGTAAATGTAACAGCTGTAATGCAGATGAGTCCAGAAAATCGAACAAATTCGATGCTCTGGATCATAGTTGTTTGTTTGCTTGCAATACATTTTAATAACAAACATATTTGATTGTTTTGGTGACCTGAAAGTAATTGTGTGTCGTAAATGTTCGTAACAAAGTGTAACACAGCACATATTAGCTGGTGCTGGCAGTGTTGTCAAATATCTGAACGATTAAAAAGATTTCGTTTCGCTTTCATACTGCTCCCTCCTCTCCACTGGGACAGCTTGGTGTATCCTGGGGCTCTGAATATGCACGCTGGTGCTTTGCAGGCTTTAATATATTGTCAAGAGATGAGGAAGGAGATGAGGGAGGGACAGTAGGTAACACCTCCAGTTTGATTTCTGGGAAAGTCTGGCCAGGGAAGATGATCCTCAGGTGCTCTTCAAACAGTTCTTTAAGCTTCCTGTCTGCCATGGTAACCTCTGTGTCAGCCTGCCGTGCGAGTAAAAGCAAGGATGAGTGCAAAATATTTTATAAGCAGGTGCTTATTGAATAATACTGAAAAACAAAAAAATATTTCTACAGTACCTCACTGAGGGCTGCACAGTTCCCTAAGACGAGTTTGATGTCTGATACAAACTCGGCAGGGCTTTGATAGCACGGACTCTGCTTAGCCTCCAGTCGTTTCTTCACAGCTGAAAGCTTCATTGGTCCCTTTACAGTCAGCCTGTTATTAGCACATACCTACAGAATTTAGAAAGGGAGAGATAATTAAAGAATAAAACTTCAAGGGGAGATGTTGAAGCAAAATCACGATTAATATATTTATATAGTTTTACATGTCTGCTTTGTGCACAAGAAGTTATGGATTTTCATTTTCATTTTGTTACGTGAAAGTTTATATAAAAAAGAGGTATTTCATTCAAAAATGGCCACAGCGGTTAAGTGCTGCACACAAATATAGTGTTGTAAGTACTGTAATGTACAGTTTTTTATCTCTAGTTTTTAATGTTCATCCACTTCTGTGCTACAAGCTCTCTGTCAGCGAGGAAAATACTTTATATTTATATTTACAGTACCTGGGTAAAGTTGCTCTGCCTCTCATTCATATTTTTTCTTCCTTTACTGATAAACACTGCACATTACACATCATTAAAATTACAGTTACAGTAACTCCATGTGACATTAATCCTGTGACCCTTTAGTCATCCTTGTTTCAAGACTCACCGAGGGGGAAACAGGCTCTTGAAAGTCTGAACCCAGGTCGCTGCAAAACAAGTGCAGCAACAGCCTCTCACATTTCTGCAGCGGTAGAAAAACACATCAGACTTAAAACATGTCTATATATAATAATAGAGAAACCACATACAGTTCTCCAATCGATAGCCTTTTGCTGCTTAGTTAGTTCTTTAAATCTGACACAAGCAGCACATTGGGGAAGTTTGCAGTAAATCTGATATTTTCTTCAATACTACTGTCATTAAATGGTGTGTATGTTAGTTTCTAGAAACAACAATAATGAAAACAGTATGGTTGCTAGGCTAACAGTCATTAAGGGTGTGATACTCTTTTTATGAGTATCACACCCTCACCCCTTTAGACCTGAAAGGTGGCTGTTATACGTTTGTAGTGTTGTCCCAGCACTAACTTTCAAGCAGAGGCGCCACCAATAGGGGGCCAAATTCCACTGCCCCCTCCCATTTTCTGGCAACCCACAAGTAAAACGCAGCCTGCTACAACCTCTGAAAGACAGTGTGGAGCAGAAGATGTAGGGATAATGAGGTGGCACTTGGGGTGGCCAATCAGATTTCACTGGCCAGTGCTGACCCAGGCCCCCCCTCTGGAAGACGCCCCTGACTACTCCATATGCATAGTTAGCTTCTGAATACTGTATGCATAATATGCTGCTATCTGATATTTAACGTGCATTTATTTAAGTTAATAAGTAGTTAAAAAGATAAGTGTATATTAAAGGGCCAGTGTGAAGGATTTTGTGGCAACAGTAAAGTTGCAGTTCTGTGTCTGTATTTGACAACCTGGGAATGAGAATGGACTGTGAAGTGTGTAAGAAAAACTACGGCAGCAAAACCTGTGAAAATCGTGAAAGGCCCTATCTACAGCCAGTATTTGGTTTGTCCGTTCTGGGCTACTGTAGAAGCAGTTCAACATGACAGACATGGAGTCAACCCGTAATGTCTGTAAATAAAAATGGTTCATTCTAAGGTAATGAAAACACAACGATTCTTATATGCAGGTGATTATACACATACAGAAAACACAGAAATATATTATATTATATTATTATATTCTAAAACATTCTACGTTCTGCAAGTCGATCCTCCTAAATGTTTCACACTGGTCCTTTAAATCACTGTATATTGATGTTATTTTCTATTTGACAAATATAGCCAGTTACGGAGTTGATATGAAATTCAATTCAGTTGAATACAATTAAATGACAGGCATTGTTCTGCCATTTATTATTATAATTATTATAATGATATAATCTTTATTCTAACCAATTGATTGTTATCATTTAAAAAAGAGTACTGACTCGTTTGTCCTCAGGGGGAAATCCTCTTTCAGAATCTGGCTCCTTTTTTATTCTTTTGGCTTCAGGTTTGTTTTCATACTCCATCTCAGGCAATAACAGGTCACGGCAGAAAGAGCAAAACCATTCCCCGCTGAAAAGAGACAGTCCAGAGACTCAACACAAAAGCCAGTAAGCAGGAACATACATTAAAAAAGTGCATAATGCTGCTGTCAGATGAAAACCTCACACCTCAAAGCTTGTCAAAAACAACCTCGTCCTTAAAAGTTGTTTTTTTTATTCCACAGCAGACCATAATTCTTTGATTCTAGTATTAAAAAAATGAGTTATGAGCTTTCCATCTGAGACCAGCACTAAATAAATTTCCCCTGACAGAGCTTGCCTGGGAGATTTGAGGAGAGTTGGAACGTGGCACGAAAGGTGAAAAACCTTGGGACACTTATCGCAGTGCAGCAGCTCTCCCCCAGTCTGACACACAGCACACAAGACTTCATTAGAGTCTTCTAACGGAGCTCTGCGCTGCTCTACCTGCTGTTCTCCTCCCAGTGAACGGATGTGATTTGGAGCATTAGTGTTGCTCTGGTCCCGTGGGCTGCTTGGAGGCTGTGAGGGGCTATGGGGTTTGTCGTTTGTGCTTTGAAGAGGAGTTGGGGCTTTGTTCCCCTCATCCTGGGCACTGATTTGGGGTTGATCACCTGTGCTGTCAGGGAGGCTGGCTCTTTGGTTGGCTTGTACCTGAAATACACAGAGAGAAAAAACAGCTCTGAATATATTGTAACCAATATGTAATAAATGGACTCAACTTTGACCTGGACAGATAGTTTATCTGTTATTATTGACATTTCAGGTGCCCTCACTTTTGTTTGTTTTTTTAGCTCCAAATAGAGGTTTAGAAAATCTAGCTAAGCTGTAGGCTGTCTCACTGCTTCTAGATATCACATGTTACTGTGATGAAAACAGTGTTATTATAAGCAATAGAAATTCTAATAAAATAATAAAAGTTGTAATAAAGCAAAATGTCCTTTAAATCCATGCTCTGTCTTAGTACAGTGCATCAACAGTGTGGAAAAGTCATTGGATCGTAACAATAATTTATTGTCTCCTTACATAACTACTGTCATCTTCTGGCTCATCTTTGATGAGTATGATGGGGCCTGGTGACGACCTTCGTCTTTTCTTGACAGCTGAGCCCACTGCTTCACTAGCCTGGTGTGTTTCTGGAGGTTTCCAAGAAACAGTCCTAGGGAGCAAAGGTAGAACCAATTAGAACAGAGTAAAATTCACTGGAGAGACCAATGGCACAAAGGGACTAGGGTGATATCAAGGCGGTACTGTTCAGAGCTACACAGTAATTAGAGAAAGGCACAAGATTCAGCTGTCTCCTCACCCTGGTTTCTCCTCCTGGGACACAGCAGCGTAGCCTGGTGAATTCTGCTGTCCTTGCACTTGAGATTAAAAAGAAATCTGTGTTTTCCTTTGTTAAGAATACAGCAATACGTACAGTCTGTAAAAGCGCAAATGACACTGGTGGCACAGACATACCGTTTCTGTGTGGCAAAGAAGGTGGCAGGCTCTGGGGATAGTTGGGTTTCAGCATATATATTGGGCCACCTGAATCGCTCCTCCTACTCAGATATGTGGGCTCAATCTAAAACACAGCATTGCAAACATTGTAACATATGTAAATATAATGCAACTTTTTTACCTTTATTGGATTAGGGTGATTTTCTCTCTATGAATGCACCTGACAAGTGCCTAAAGAAGTTGGACACTGTATACCGTTGTGCCTTGTGTTTTATGACAGGTTGTGGAAATCGCGTACACCTCTGCACTCTGTATGCTGCTGCTAAATGGCTGTATGTCTGCAGCCTCTCTCACTGGTTGGCTTTTATACATGAAGTTATCCCTGAGCTGGTTTTTTCTTTTCTATTATCTATTTCTTATCTTCTATATTAACCAAAATCAATATGGCCTTCACTCGTAACTAGAAAATGCTTTTAAATATGCAGCTCCCTCTTCCTGGAATAATGTACAGAAGGACCTGAAATTGTCAGAGCTGATTACTATTAAGTCCATTTTGAAGTATATCAATTCGTTTACATTAATGGGTGGAGTCACTTGCCGTATGCCGTGATTGAGGCGAAGTGACGCCACCATTGATGGCCCGTGGCGTTATATGGGTGTACAGGGATGAAGAAGAAAATACGTCCATAGGTTTGGGTTGGTAGCTGGAGCTGCTTCCCATCCCCCTCAGAGGCTACAAGTGACAGAAGGAAAAACAGTAAGATGGATAGAAATGCTGCAATCCTTTTCATGCTACATTCCTGTCAGCTTCTATAAGCATGTGATGGTGGAGGTGGAGATGAAAGAGTGCACTTTCAATACCGTGTCGCTGGCTGTGTGGGTCGACACCCCTTGGCAACAACAGAACAGAGAAGACTAAACCATAAACAACAACCCTCAGAAGTTCTTTGACTTATTTTTGATCTGTATTTTATTTTGCTAAATCTTTCTCCTCCTACAAAATGTATAAAAAAAACCTATAGCATTTCTATGAAACACTTAGATGCACGTTTAGTTTAGTTCAAATACATTTAAAGGACCACACCAACATTCCTGTTTTAACACAGAACACTACACGACAATAACACACCACTTCAAATAAAATCTACTTATTTAAAAGGCCCTGAAAAAGCTATTTTCTCCATCAGCGTGTTATTATGAGCAGTGGGGTCCTATATTAACACAATGTTACATGTTAAAATCTGATCAATCTAGACCCACACACTGAGCTTTGAGTGACAAGCTTTGCTTATTAAGTAATGGATACTAAATGTTATCAAGTAATATTTAGAAATATGCTAAATAATATAATAACCACTTTTTATAGAATGGGCAGTAACTGTTTTTACAAATTTTCCCGAAAGCTGTTAGTTTTCATTTATTTCACAACAGTATGCAAACTGAAAAAAAAAATGGAAACTCGCCTCATCATGTCAGCCCTTCTATTCATCAAAATTATGTGAACACTATTAGGTCATTTTCCAAGTGAATCTGCACTTAGAGCTACACTACGACACCAATAAAACAACTCTTGACATAAATAAAAGCAGACATGCTGTACACATAAAATAAGTAAATAAAGTAATAAGTACCCACAGCACAATCTATAAACCTACGGCATGCTTTGAAAAGTACTCAGTATCATTAAGTATGCATGACTTGCAGCAAAACATGCAAAAACATGGAGAACATTTGAGAGTTTATTATGCAGCTGTAACAGCTTGTTCACGTCAGTATGATACAACTTTTGTGTGCACTTCACACGCCAGCATTGTCCTGTGAATGAGCCTATACTTTAGAGCTGGAACCAAAACACCCTGTGAACTAGACTAAACAACTCGGATGACGAGATATTATCAACCCTTTCTTATGGAGTCTTGGGTCCGTCCTCTGTCACATGCTGGCTGCTCTCGCACTGCAGATTTAGCTGTTTTTTTTTTATGATTTTGAGTCATAAGCTTGTCCAAGATTAAAATCCATCTTGACACGGAAAGACGTAAATTGCTTAGGATGTGAAGGCTGTCAGCTCTATTTAGGACAATGCCATCCGCTGTCTGTGCTTGTTAAGAGGGCTTGTCAGTCAGACGGACACGAGCACACATGCACACACAAACGCACACTAACCTGGGGCGTAAACCCAGGGCTTGGTAAGCTGCTAGTTGGGCTGGCATGGTTGGGAGGAGGCACCATAAATCTGCGGCCTAGTTGGGAGGGCATACTGTGGGAGGGAGAGCCTCCATGCAGGGGCCCTGGGACGCTACGCTGCAGTCTGACACTCTGGTACCATGTCCAGGGTGGAGGAGGTGGTTGCGGTTGCCAGAGGGCCTGAGGGTTTAGCTTGTCCACCTGCATCTGGAGCTGAGCCAGAGTATTATGGGGTGCTCCCTGGGCAAAACTGTGGGGTGAGCCCGAGGGGCCCTGCCCAGGGTGGGAGAGCTGATGAGAGATACCCTGAAAACCACCCAGCTGGTGGCCTGGTACTCCACCACTCTCAACCAGTAAAGAGCCTGAGGGAGCATACACACAGAGACAGGATGAGCATAACAAGTAGCAATGCATAATACACAATGCAGACAAAACTTGTGCAGAGAACTGTGGGAAAGAGAAAGTTTGGGAAGTCATGCAGTAAAACTTTAAAGAACTTTTGGAGGTATTAAAAGGGGAACACATGTCATGTAGGGATGCAACTAATTATAATTTTATCAGAAAATGTTTTACATTAAAAATATATCAATAATATTGAAAAATGTCCCTCACAAGTTCCCAGAGCCCAATGTGTCATCTTCAAAGGGCTTGTTTTTGACATTCCCAAAGATATTTAACTTACAATGACATAAAACAAACAAAAGCAACGAAGAGGAATATTGGGATTTCAGCTTGATGAAACCAAAATCTGCTTGACTTAAAGAATTAATTGATAGTCAAAGGTTTTGCTGAGTCAGCTAAATCGATTCATCTCATATTTCGGCACAACTGTCAGGCTTGTATGAGTTGCGACTGCTGCAATTGCCCAGCATTTTTAGGTTTCTGTTAAGCACCGGACCCGGTGAATTTTGGGAATACAGTAAAATACAAGAGCGACTGTTGTGTGGTGGAAGCCTCTTCTAATGCAGTATATATGCAGATAGCATGTGTAATGTTCACTATTCCATTCTGATGTTATAATTGTTGCATTATTGAGTTTCAAGTCAAACAGGAGATGCTGAAGGGCCTAATAGTCATGGGATGTGATTGATGCAGTGATTGATGATTGATTGATGATTTCTGTAAGTGCCATGTTAAAATAGTCTGCCACTGTGTTGGCTTTTTCCACTTGTGGAAATGCTCGATGTGGCCTTTATTTTATGGCAGGAGATTGTGTGGAATTTGACCAGGTGATCAATATTCTTACATCGTATATCGAAATATACACTACAGTAAAATTTTGGTGAGACTTAAAGGTATCAAAATCTACTAAAACAGAATAATCACTAACAGTGTCCAGACTAAGAAATCCATCGTCAGGGTTATAGAGAAGCTGCTATAACTGAGACGTTCCATTATGTCTTACCCAGATCAACATTTGAAGCCCAATAAGAGGATCGACACTGGAAGCGTACAGTGGCCTGTGGTACAAATGAGGTACTACATTTTGCCCGAAGGAGGTTTCCAATCTGAAACAGAATCTGCAACAGAAGGGATGTTATTAATAATTGTAGAGGAGGATACTGGTGTGTTACAAAAGCCATATGTTCCTACTTTACTACGTCCAAGACAGACCAGGCACCAGAGCTGAGCTGAGTTTTATGTTGGAAACAAGATTGCGAAGAGATACTGTTGAGTGAATAAATGATCAGAAAAGCCGTACCAAACGTTTACAGTACAAGAGGGCCGTGCCCCCATTCCTGGCTGTGGCCCATTTGGTGAAGTTGATGACATGATCCAGGTGTCTGGATAGATAGCCAATGTCTTCCTGTTGTTTTCGCAAGACACTCTCGTGATCCTTTGTTACAGCCTGGAAAACATGAATAAGTGAACATCTGCAGTATTCAAACAGCTTGAGGGTATGTGCTCTGGGCCTCGGGGTAAAACAGTCAACTGTGCTTTTCAACCAAATAATGTTTTACTGGAATCAACACCATAGCAAGCTACAGCCTACATAAAACTGATACACAGCATTTATTTTGTTATATTTGTAATATATTGAAAATATTTTGCCATACCTCAAGTTGATTAATGAGCACCTTGCCCTTTTTGTTGATCTCCAGAATCAAACTGCAGATCGATTTCTTTATTTCATTATGAACAGATGAACGGTTCTGATCGACCTGAAGAAGTCTGAGAAACATACATCCCGACTATCAACAAGTCTTTAAATCTGACACATTATATGCAAAATCAAACAGCACATTTTTCATGACACATTTTAGAGACATCTTATTATTACTGGAGGTACACGTGGTTTTATCCCTAACTAATTACCCAGTTGTTCTTGTCCATGAGATTCAGAGGTCATATGGAAGAGCAAAATGGCCTTTTTTCTAAACATTCCTATAAACTACAAGAGCCTTCAACTTTGGTTTACATTGTGCATTCTTGTGGTATGTGTACATACATACCCGTTTTTTATGAGCTCTGATACCTCTTCAATCAGTTTCTTTTTCTCCTGCAGCTGATGGGTCATGTTCTCCATGTGCTGTTTGTGGTTTTTATAAGCGTCTTCAAGGAACTGGTAACTAATCCAAAAAGAACATTAAGGCAGTGGATACAATACACAAAGTAAACACTGATTACATAGTATTAGGGCTCTACCAATGCACCTAATTGAATCTCCTTTCTTTGTGATGTGGATGATGGGATATAGCCTACAGCAGCATACCTAAGACTAACAGGGGGTTCAGTGAGACGATAACAATATGGCTGAAATAAACATGATAACTGTAAGGATATTTGTGTATCAAAATGTAATTTAATACACAGCTTTTTATTCTAAATCAAATTCATGAAGTGTACGTTAATCACATTTAACTGCAGAGTGTAATGTCAAAATGACAAAACTGCAATGTATACACAGGTCTATGAACCTTTATGTGACAAAATCATACTACGTTATATTGTCAACTGTGACTGTACTTGTGGTCCTTGTGCTTGACTAGTTGGCAGTCACGGCAGGTTAGCAGGTCACAGGTCTCACAGAACAGCTTCAGCGGCTCTTGTTTGTGGATGTCACAAAACATCGGCCTCTGAGTCGACACACCGTGGACCCCTGGAAGACAACAAAAGGTTCATCATTTGGCCCCTCATTCTGGGTTCGTGACAGTAGTTTGTTCTGTCTTGGCACAATGTTATAGGCCGTAGAGCTCAAGGTTAGAGGTAACTGTTTGTGGTTTCACTGGATGTGAAGGAGAAGACTCAAATATAAACTAGCAAACAAGTCATAGAGTATATTTCCCGAGCTATAGGCTTAACTGTTGTTAGGGAAGCAGTTTTTATAGACATAGTTATAGCAGTAGTAGTCAATGTTTGAAATAAATGAATTTAGGAAAATATTTCTCCCGCATGTTCCTGCCAACTGGTGACTTACAGCTCGTCTAACATTTGCACGCCCTTGATAATAAGCGTTTGGCCTCTTGTCTTATTTTCAAACTACATCATGCATCTAAATGTTTTAATTGAATTTGAATTCGGCTGAACTTAATGAGCAGTTCCGAATGTGTTCCATTATTTAACTGAGCCCGAAGGTTTAAGTTTACACACAGCATAACCAAATTGCTTTAAACGTTTATGTAAATATCTACATTTATCATTTGTGCCATTAAAAATACCCTAGAGTGGCAGTGTTTATGTTTGACCATCCTTGGAATGAGCTGAAAGTTCATTTCAAACAACAGTCAAGCGTGTAAGAATTTAAGATAAATATAAGAAAGGCCATTTAATTTTGATGCACTTGGATTTAAAAAAATGTCCACTACAACCAGAGCAAAAAGTGACATTACTGACCCCATTATATCTTGTTCCTATGTCGTGGAAGCACCACAAGTATTTTATTTACTTACTGTATTTATTCACAGAAGAATAATAAAAGAAGAGATTACAATACCTTGTGATACTTCTGCCTTCTGTCTGATGGTGTGCTCTCTGGTGAATCTGACTCTCTGGTGGGCCTCCACACAGGTGGCACAGAGGTACTCGGCACAGTTTACGCAAAACCCGGCAGCTTCAGTGTTGTCATCGCAGGTCATACAGAGCTACAGGTATGAGACAAGTGTCAGAGTTCTGACCTCAGGCAGGCAGGTAACAAGAGCTGCCGGGTCTAGTTTGATCAGTGCAACTTAAATCAGACATGCAAAAGTGATGTGAGGAATATTACAACCATCACCCTAAAAACTAGTAACAAGGCTGCCCCCTTAATGCATCACTAACCTGGACTGTCCTCTCCACTGTGCTGCTGGGAGCCTCAATGGAGTCCTTCACGAAGACATTTTCCATCACATCTACCTCCATACACTCCTGCCTGCACACCGGACAGCGGATCACATTCACTGGAAGGAAACAGAAGCATTTATGTTGGTCTAAATCAGTAACGCCGAACGTGTGACACATGACACCAGATACTCATAGTGAACGGCAGCCCATGTGTAAACAATCAATACAGCTAAACACACAAGCCTTGTATTGAATTGTATTGAAGCCCTGTGGAGCCACGATGAACTCTCCAATTTCTCCCACGCGGGCGAAAGTGATACCCTTTGATCGATCCAGGGTGGTTGTTTGTAAACAAAGTGACTCACGTGGTTTGGTCGCCCTGTCAACCTGGGAGTTTGGCGGCTCCGTCATGGCCAGATTCCTCGAGGGGGAAGGGAAACATTTCTTGCAAAAAGAGTGCAGGCACGGCAGAAGTTTGGGCTCTCGGCTGTGAAAGTTTAGAAAGCAAACGGGGCATGTGTCCAGGTAATGTTGGCCACTTGCCCCGGACTTTTCCTCTTGAACGGGCATGCTCTCAGCTTCGTTCTCCACGACGAGGACAGCAGCATCCCCCGTCTCCCGCTTTTCCGCGCGTCCATCCATACTGCTCCACCTCCGGCGCTGGGTTTGCTCTATTAAGCAGGTGTGTAAGCCGAGCACGCTCAAAAGGCATTCCCCGAAAAGAGCATCTTCACCTGCGTTCTCCTCTTCGCTCTCAGCCAGTTCATCCTTTTTTATTTTCTTTTTTTTAATTCGCAGCGCTGTTAGTATATTAATAATTCTGCTCACATGGTAGCTTATTGTGTGAAACGGCAATGAATCGACAGGAGCACCGACATGTTAGCACGAGAGACGCAAAATAATAGCTGCGCGTGAGGTGTGTCGCGCGCTCGCGTACGGCAGATGTTGCTCAAATTGCACCGCACGCGCTCGTTGCGGCACGAGAGAGGGGGTGGGGTCAAAGTCAAACTGCGTGTTCAGATAAGAGACAGTGGGGTTGAACTACAGCGGTCGAAAGGCTGCTGTTGGTTATCTCCTTACTGTTTGACCTGGTAACGTCCATTCTGTTGCATTCATATAAACTGAAGTTAGTAGTCACTGGGACCTATATGGCATTACCATTACCAAAACCTGTACAGTATGTGTCCAGAAAAGAATTAATCTGAAGTTTTTCCATTATTTAAAGGACAATTATTTTCCTAAAAATGAACGATTTAAGCTTCATCATCCTGTATGCCTGAAGAAGGGTAAACTCTGTTACTGCAAAAATCAACTTAAATTCCATTTATTACACAGTTAATGACATTGTAATGGAGTAGCACAGTTTCCCACAATACTATCACTGAGTTTGTTAAACTTATTGATTGATCTTTTGTTTTGTTGTTTTTGTTTGTATGAGATGTAGATGCCTACAAATACTCTTAGTGAGAAGCCACTAACATAGGTGCATGGAAGTTAAAGCGACAGGGTTCAAAGTTCATGGTCATTCAATAAATTACCTATTAGGCAGGCTAGAGAACAGAGCAGCATTTTCAGCATTTTCGCACACATGAATCTGACTGCACAAAGCCACAGTATCCCTCTCAGTGATGGGAACCGTATTCCACTGCTGGGATTGGGCACCTATGGGGACCCTCGAACGGTGAGAATAATATAATGTGTCTGTTTCTAGATTTGTATGTGTGCCAGGCTTTACCAGGAGGACTCTCAGTTTTGTAGGAGTGCCAGTGTTTCTGCTTATCAGCAATTGGAAGAACCTTGACGGTGTTTTAAATGTCACTGTATAACATGTGAATATGTACCGTAATACAAACGGGAATGTATATTTGCACAAACTGCCGCACGACTCGATCAAAACCAGGTTAAATTATATGTGCATTTTCTCTTGTTTTCCAATAGACACCCAAAGGCACGGCACTTGAGTGTGTTAAGCTGGCCATAGATGTGGGTTACAGGCACTTTGATGGGGCATTGGTGTATTTCAATGAGCACGAAGTGGGTCAAGCCATAAGAGAGAAAATTGCTGATGGAACCGTGAAAAGGGAGGACATCTTTTACTGTGGAAAGGTAATAGGTTTTCTTATATGTCAAGCTATGTCATGTAGTTTAAGAACTCATTATGTTTTTCAGAAGGCCTATGCAATGGATATTTGAACACTATAAACAGTTTTTCAAAAGCAGAAACATGTGCTTTGCTCTATTTTACATTCATTTAAATATCTTAAAGTACTTCTGTTTTCTTCCTCAGCTCTGGAATACCTTCCATCCACCGGAGTTGGTAAGACCAACCTTGGAGAGGACGCTGAAAGCCTTGAAACTAGACTATGTGGATCTCTACATCGTTGAGCTTCCTATGGCCTTCAAGGTTTCTACACATACAGATTTACTTATCAGCCAGCCATGTAGTGTCTGAACATTGCCCTTCCATACATAGAAACAAAGGTAACGTTTAGTTTAATTGATGCTCTTATCAGCTTTTCTGTCAAACAGGATTGTTTGAGGTAAGATACTTAGATGCATGGCAAAACAAACACATCTTCATGCCCGTTCACAATCTAACACACAGTTAGGTTTTATATGCACTAGACAAAATACCTAGCCTAGTGTCGCCAGACTAATTCGCAAAAGCAAATCTGCCAGAACAAATGAATCACGAGCTCAGCAGATTCATCTGGTTCTCTGGCTACAAGATACCACAACAACAATAACAATTTTATGAAGCAGTTATGTTTATGCTGGAAGCTGCATTACAAATGTGTGTAGTTTTAGTTTTAGGTTTCAGAAAAGATTAGACAGTTGGGTATGTTTGGTTGAATGGGCGACTTGAACCATTTGGCTACTGTTGGAATAAGTGTTTTGGTCATTGGCATCACCACGTCCAGCTTATGCAACCAAAGGAAGAGTATATTTAACATAACAATTGTTGACACAAATTATTGAATTGTGCTTAAATTCCAGCCTGGAAATGAGTTCTATCCAAAAGACCAGGATGGAAAATACATCTACCACCATACAGACCTCTGTGCAACATGGGAGGTGAGTTCTGATGAATTCACATTGGATAGTCCTAGAATTTGATGACTGTGCATGACTTATCTCTCCTCCTCCTTCTTGTGTGTTATGTATGGTATTGTCTTCTCACTTATTATAAAACAGGGACAGTGCACAATAAAACATTAACC